CAAAGTACCTGCCAAGTATTCTGATTGTGAAATGTGATTGTGAAATTTAATGAACCTGTGTTACTTTATGTTTTCTTTCAAGGGGCAGAATAATCCCCACATATGGTTTGAAGGTAGTATGCCTAGTGAAAACCATATAAAAAGCATATTTTCATTTGTTTATATGTTAACAGTTTACAATTTGATACTTGTTCTGTTTATTCAAAATTGTGGACACAATTCCATTCATTCTAGTCAAAAACTCTCATATTAAAGTTCAATGACTTTAGAAAATAATATTAGAATCTCTATATAAATTTAATAGTTTATTGTGTACTCTGCATTAAATACTTTTATTAATATCATTTGTACAGTAAACTTAAGAGGGGAGATGTCATGTATCAGTAATCCGGAATTATACATTGTGTCAGTTTTGGGTTCTATGTTTTATATCAGTTAGTTGAATAAAGATGGAAACCTCCATGTGGTTGTCTATGTGATGCGACTCCGACGACTTATATGACAAAGGTGATCCATATGCCAAATATTATAGTTCTAGCAAAAAATGCTTTGGTTTGAGTGATTGTATAAACTTAAGAGGTGAAAACTGTATAAAATTTCATACTGTAATATTATTTATGCCTTCATGCTTTTAAAGAAATTTTTGATTCAATATGTGTACGATGTACAGTTACTGCGTATGAATATGATGTTCAAGCATGTTAGGTGGATCTAATCGGCCCATCTGAAGTTTATTTATAATTGACCTAGAATACTCCCTAACACAAACACCTGCTGCTCTCATTAGCTGCAGCTAGTTGTTGTTGAAAATCTATTTTTAGAATCCAGATTTGCTGTGGGAATCTTTAACCTAATTATTCCATAACACTGACCACTTCAGCTAATTAGCTTAAGTTCATTATAGAATCCAGTCAAAATAATACGGAAGCCCATTAGTTCCAACCTGTATTTATAAAGGAAAAGCAATATACACTTTATTTATGAACCGAACGTGGATCAGACATATAATATTCAATCTCTTAAGATGCAAAATAAACTGAATATATTAAGGTATGGTGCCCAGATGTATGAAAAAGCTCAATTGACTCGAGCGAGTCAACTCGCAGGCCCTTCAGGCCTTTGATTTTTTTTTTACATGCCCATCTTAATATTAATATAGCGATTATCACATCAGTCTGACTGCCTGTCTTTTAACAAATATTTGATGAATGTATTATGTGCCTGGGCAGTGCACTTTCTTTACATGTAAAACAGGTTCATGTTGTAAACTTTAATTTACATACTTTTCTTTCACAGGGGTAAACACACCAGACCATGGGGTGATGTTTTCAAACTTAGTAGCCTCATTGCAAGAAAATGTCAGCCCTCTGGTGGCCATTCTCAAATCTAAGGACTGTAACTCTGTTAAAAACGCACTGAGTAAAACCTTAACTCAACTGTTCCAAAATCCACTGTTGGTAAGAAACAAGTAACACATGCAGATACACATATACCCAGTGCTGGATATGTTTACGATTGTTTCTCGTTAATTGTGTTTCCAATGCATTTTATTTGTGTTCTAAATGTCTAGAAACTGACAGTATTCTTAGTAGCAAAATTCCTTTGGATGAATGTTAAAGTAGGGTGAAGTTCTTCATTAATGTGTTTCAATGAAATGATAAGATGTCCACTGATAATTAACCATATGGTTTTGAATCCATGCAAATTCAAAAATGGCATATGTGTTGGTTATGTAGATTTTTAACATACATGCAATTGTTCACCTCATCTTGAATAGGAATGCTATGTAGAGTGTAAAATATATTGAAAATTTAACACCATCATTTATTTTCCTTGTACTGTATATTCATTATTGATGCATTAAAAAAGGAATATACTGTACACAGGAAAATTTTCGCCCTCGTTTTATTTTCGCCCCTTTCGCCCTTGCCACAAGTAAGCAAATTTAAAACGGGCGAATTCAAATAACACAGTATAATTTCTTAAACAGAACTGTGACTGGGCGAATTTAAAACGGGGCAAAATTGTTTGAAAGTACAAAAGGGCGAAAATAACCTTGTATACAGTACATGCATGTATAAGCATAATTATTTTTCATTTAGTTTTCAGATGAAGAGGATGATGTCTCCCATAACAAAAAGAACATGGCATGTTCCATGGCGACCCTTGTACTTACATTAATAGAATATGAGTAAGAAACTTTGAATTTGTTCTTGTTAGTGAAGTAAATTATATGTTGGCTCTTTATGCTCTTTTTTTTTCCAGAAAACCTTCTTCAATGTTTATAGATAAATACTAGTCCAAAATTAGACTTTAGTTTCAAGTATTTATTTCTTATTTATTCAGTGTAATAACTCTAGTCCAAAAAAGAGGAAGTCTGCCAGTGGTGGATCCAGAGATTTGGGGCAGTTTCCACCTATTGTTATTCTGTTTGAGGACCTGGAGTGTTTTCTACCTCACGTTCTACAGGACTTTATTTCTATATGTAGGTAAGGAACTGTTGGTAGTTCACAGTGTAAGTAGTAATTGTTTAACATTTTTTTAAAGTTGTTAATATGTTCCCATAAAATTAAATGTTCAATTTTAAAAAATGAAATAATTAAACTTTATCTTTCCAATTAACAAGACAAACAGCTGTTTCATTGCAAGGTATAACAATTTTTAAAGGTATGGCCAAATTCATTTCATGTATTTATACTGGAATTACAGTTGATAAAACTAAAAATTATTTTTTTTCTGTATATTTTGTATTTGATAGGAACTACATATGTGAGCTCCCTCTTGTATTTGTGTTTGGTATTGCCACATCAGTATCAGCTGTACATCGACTCTTACCAAATGCTGTGTCATCAATGTTGTGTATGGAAAAGTTCCTTCAGGCACCCCCCTCCACAGAATACCTTAATATGGTCATTAACCAGGTGAGATTAATCAGGTCACAGAACACCTTAATAAAGATATCAACAAGGGGAGATAATTCAGGTCACAGAATGCCTTAATATGGTCATCAACCAGGGGAGATTACCTAGAGAATATCAAACTGTGGTTATTATCTGGTTACTTATCTAAGACCTATATCACATGCAAGTAGTTAGTTAGGTAATCTATACAAATTTTTTCAAGAATTTCAAAATATTACAACTTTTTCTTTTCAAATTGTTTGCAGTCTGATATGTGATAAGCAACCAGTTGTGATTTGCTGGTCATATTCATCAAAATACTTCAGTACTTATGCATTTTTATATGAGAAAAATAAAAAAAACAGTGGTAAAACTTTCCTGACATTTTAGATCCTGATGACCTCTGTGTACCCATTCAAGCTTGGATCTAAAGTCTTCCAGCTGTTGTTGGACATCTTTTTGTACCACGACTTCTCTGTACTCAACTTCATCAAGGGACTACAGGTGGGTCCTTTATTTGGGAAGTCTGTCGCTAAATATATTAACATCAAGCCATTTAAATGTATTGAAATACAAACAACTTTAATTGTCACTGAGTATACAAAATTTTTTTGCAAAAATAGTTTTCAACAAAAAAATATTTTGTTATAGTGAAATAGAATAATAAGTTCTCAAGGGATATATTGAACAAAAAAATTTTTAATTGACTTTACCCTGGTACATGTTTCTTTGACATTGTTTTATACTAACATTTGGAATAATAGTGAAGTTTTGATTTCATTTAATTAATCTTTGTTTTATTCCAGTTTGCAATGCAGGATCACTTCTTCACGGTCCCTGTCAGCCATCTTTGTTGTCCTCTGGATGAGCTAGAGGAACGAGTGATGAGTCTGAAGCCAAAACAAGTCGAGCAAGTCAGACGACTCATGTCGTTCAGGGGGTACAGTCTCCTTAACTTAATGTTTACCATTGTTCAGCAGACACTCAGAACTCAAGTATTGTTAAACTTAGATTTGTGTAACTAAGATGATGTTTATCCAAGATCACCACAAAAGGAAGATTTTCAAGAACTAGTTTTTGAAGCAGGTTCATTCTTAAGCTTGACTTCACCATAATTTCTTTTATTTAATAATCAGGAAATGTTTCTCATCATCCTTTAAACAAACCTAATTCAAAAGAAAAGCTTAGATGAAGCCTTTATTCTAAAAATCTTTTCATACGTAGAATTTAGATTATGCAGATTTTCTTGTTTTTGTTTTTAGATTTGTTGAGGGATGTCCACCGTCTAAACAAGAAGACATGCTGTTAGATGACAAAGTCACTAAGGTTTGTAGAGTTAGGAACTGTAACTACAGAAAAGAAGTCCATATTTATTAACACATACGAATAAAGGAGAACAATTTACGCATCAAGTCTGTTTTAATATTGTGATGTGTCCCTAGTATATTTAAGTCACTGCATAAAGGGAGATAACTTGTATATACTTTTTGGTTGCTTGAGGGGGCACAGGCAAATTGTTACATCCATTATAGATTGTATTTAGCAATTCCTGAATATGTACCATCTAGTGTTGGTGTTTTTTTTATACGCCCGTCTAAGACGGGACGTATTATGTTATAGGCTTCATGTCCGTCCGTCCGTCTGTCTGTCTGTCTATTCGTGTCCGACTCATAACTTCAATACTATTAGGCCTAGGATTATCAAACTTTGTCAACTGATACTTCTTGGGTAAATGGTGTGTCGCTCAGAAAAAGTGGGCCACTTTGACCTTTAATAAAGATGATATGGCCAAATATGGAAAAATCCTGTCCAGCTCATAACTAGAAAACTATTAGACCTAGAGCTATCAAACTTGGTAAAAGTATACATCTTAGGTAGATGGTGTGTCGCGACCTATTTCAAGGTCACTGTGACATTTAATTTAAGTGATTATTTTTTAAACTAAGTCTTTTAAATTTTTAATTTCATACTCATAAGAAATGTAAAAAATAGAGTTGTATCCTTATCAAAAAGTGTTCAATCAAGAAAAAACTTTTTTTTCATCATATATTTTACAGCAATCTTTAACAAATGTCAATGTTAATGAGAGGAATTCAGTTTGTCCCATGGGCATAATTAATAAGTACTGGTCAAAAGGAATTTTGATAACAGAAAGTTGCATTTCAAATTAGAGAGAAATTAATGAGTTATTAGTGAAGAGGTAACTAATAGAGCAGTGGTGTTATCTATATCCCTTGGGTATTGGGCAAATGGGCAGCCAGCCTGTTGGATTAAAATAGCTCCTGTTGGCTAGCCTAAGTTTTAAAATGAATTTGATGAAAAGTAATTAAAACTAATTTGATATTGCATAATAAATTAATAATCTGATATTATATAATATTAATTAATTTAAAAACTAATTTTATGGGGTGGGTTTGAATCAGCATGCCTACTTTTCCATATGAATTAAATATATAACCTGTCTGGTTAAATCTAAAAAGAAAACATTATTTTAAAAGTTTTTAGGGCAGAAAGTGCAGATCCATTAATATCTAGGGAGTAATGAGTAGACAAGCATCCAGTCAAAGATTAATTATTGAGTTCAATGTAGGAAGGTTAGCTGTCTCAATCATTTCTTTAGAACATCTCTGATCAGGCAGTTCTACATGTATCTATATCCTTTGGGAATTAGACAGAAGAACTGTTGGTTAGTTTATAGCATATGTCATTGGATGGTCAGCCTTTATTTTCAAAAGATTAAATTGTTAATTAAGACTAATTTGATTTTGATATTAATATGATGGGCATTTGACAAAGTCTATTACAAACAGTATAGAAATATATCAGTTATGTTGTATTTGTTATAATTAATGCCTACAGCAAAGGGGATGGATAAATAAATATTTTTTTTTTTAAAAAATGGAAAAATCATGGAAATCTTAGAACCAATGTTGACATGATTTTCTTGCACTCTAAACTGTTACAGATAATTGTAATTTTTCGACGGGCGTATCATGCTGTGGCGTGGCACTTTATTTAATATGAAGAATTGGTGGCATGATCAATGACTCTTTATAAATCAATTTCTGCATTTTAAATTTGGGAAACTCATGCTGGGAAAATAAAAATAGATAATTTTGTAATTTCCTTTGCAAAATTGCAGAAATCTACCCGGTATATAAAATATTGACTGTTGCAGAAAATTTTGTCTAAAGTAACGATATTTTTTGGTTTTGCAAATGTCTGTGAGTTGCTAATGTCTTTAATAAGTTGTAGACACAGTTTTTGATTTTGTTGATGTCTTGATTTGGTTGCAGTCAGAATTTGTGATTTTGCTGAAGAGGATCCATACCTACCACTCCCTGCTGTATCCTGTCCTGAAATGTCTCCACATCATGGTCTCCAAAATCCCCAAACACCCACTGGGGAAACAGGTATTTTACTGATAATCTGGGAAAGTCTGCACTTATGCATATCCATATTTTTTCAATACATAAGTACAAGTACTCTAATGGCATTTATAGTTCATTCTAAAAAGTGAACAGAGGCAGTATATACATTTGATGCTAGTACCCAAATGTACATTATATGTACAATGTATATTTGTACTATGGTGTTTTTGTTGAAACAGTAAAATGAATAACATATAAAACACATGAAAAAATTTAATTATTTTCATTATTAATGTATTACTGTTGTAGATTCGTGAGGTGTACTCCAGGGTGCTGAAATCTTTTATCTGCGTTACTGTTGTATATCCGTGAGGTGTACTCCAGGGTGTTGAAGTCTTTTATCTGTGTTACTGTTGTAGATTCGTGAGGTGTACTCCAGGGTGCTGAAATCTTTTATCTGTGATTCCGAGGATTACAAAGAGTGCCTAGAACTACTCAGGTAAGTGACTTAGTCACTCAAGTAATGCTGGTAAAGTATCACAAGTCACTGGTACCCCCCTATTCCAGCCCAACCTTACCACCCTCAGGTAATGATGGTTTAGTATCGCAAGTATATGCCCCCCCCCAATTTTAATCTACCCTTACCACCCTCCACACTCACATTTTATAATTCCTTTCATCCACATCTACATTTTTTCACACATTTTATAACCCCCTTTATCAACATTCCCATTAGATATGATAGATCCTCTCTCCTTGATTTAGGATGACATCTAAGGATGAGCTGGTGGACCTGATACAGCTCTGTAGATCCTCCCTAGTACACATACCACCCTCTACATCCCACCCTTCACACACACACTTTACAGCCCCCTTTATCTATCTGATATATCACAGATTCTGTCTCATTATAATAGGATGACATCTAAGGATGAGCTGGTGGACCTGATACAGCTGTGTCGATCCTCCCTGGAGGGGACCCTGCCCCCTGACCTCGCTCAGCTCCCCACAGATCTGGACGTCCTACTGGACAAGTTTGTCAAGATTGATGGTGAGATATACACGATAGTCCACGATGAGGCATGTTTAAAATAAGAAGTTAAATTTAAGGGGGCCGACTATAGTTTTTTTGCGTGAAATCTACAATAGCGAAACTCTTCATTTTTATACCATATATAACTTACATTAACTTCAGTGTACATGCAAAGTTTGGGGGAGGTCTACCGTCCAGGTATTTTGGGGGACCGTCTCAAAATACAGGTACATTTACTATAGGATTATATAGGGAAATGCCAAATTTTATCACTTTAAAGCAAATTATACAAATACTACAATAGACATTTTGTTCAAACTATAATATTTGATGTGTAATACTATATTATACAATATATGTAAGAAACACAAAATTCTACCAGAGGGGACATCTCAAAATGCAAAAAATTAGCAAATTTTACTATTTTTATAGAGTATTACAAAATATGGCGTACACAATGGATTCACATAAAAACATAATAAAAATATTAGAGATATTCTCAAATTTCTATGTTTTAAATTTCAAGAGCGTATGTTTATTACTTTTTCTTTAATAATATTATTATTATCCCTTTCTTTAAGAGCCACAGATTATCATAACGTCAAAAACACACTGCAACGACGTCAACCTACCTATCAATTGCAAAATCGGTTAAAAATAAGTACGGGTAATATCAAATTGTAATTACATTTCTATACCTATAATTTCTTAATTTTGTTTAATTTCAATAATTAAGCGAAAAAAGTTGCATTAAAACAGTAAATACGCTTCATTTTACTATGATGCGCGAAATATTGCGCAATGGAAACTATAGTCGGCCCCCTTAAAAGAGGAATAAAGAAATACTTGTTAATTATTCCTTGTATTTTTGGGGACTGTTGCCTTGGTTGCAAAAATTAGTGGTCAAGAGTGGATTCCAATCTGAAAAATCGCAAGTAAAAGATGTCGTGGATAATAATTGGTTTACAGTATTATATCAGTGTGCCTCTCAGTACATGTATTAATTTATTTTGTTGATTTGACAGAGGTTGCAGAGGAGGAGACACCAGAGGGCAGCAGTGAGGAAGCTCTTCATCTGGAGAAAACCGACCTTCACACTCTACGAAAGGTTAGCAATGTTGAAAATGTGCTCTCTTTGAATTAATCAATAGTTATAATACAGGTAGTAATAGTTATAATACAGATTCAGGTTAGTTCAGGGTATAACATGCATATAATTTTCCTGCAAAACAAGACTTTTAAATTGATGCATCATGCAATCAATGATATGCTAATGAACATGTATGATAAGTCTATTACCTAGGACAGGTAACAGTATATTCATGAGAGAGAGAGAGAGAAAGCTACGTTACTCTAATGCATTTTGTGTCTTTAAGAATGACACCATATATATAATGCTTGTTTTGATATGCAATTAATTGCCTTATTTCAGAGATTACAAGAGGAAGGAAAAAAGAAAAAGAAATTATCTCCATATGAAAAATTGAGATCTGAAGCTATAGATTTCTTTGATGATTTATTCAGGTACAGTTCAAAGAAATTATGGAAGCATGTATATGTACATGTCATCTTTATAGCCCTGGTACAAGAAAGTATATATTTAACCTGCCTTTACATCTTTACAGGAGGTACTTGTTATGTCCCTCCTCCCTGCCTCTCTACGAGATATTTTACTACGATGCCTGGGCGGAGATTAAGCGACACTGTAATGCCTCACCCAGATCTGTCGTCCAGATGGCACTCAGTTCTCCCCACCACTATCTACAGGTTTGTTCTGTTCACTTAATAGCGATACTGATGTCAAGAAAATACCATCACAGGAAGGGGAACATGGAAATAAATTTATATAGACCTCCTGTCTGTAGATTCCATAGTGTGACTTCATTGAATGTGTAAACATTATCGAAAATATACCACAGAAGGTATTTTGAATGCTGTGATAAATTACGAAGCGACTATCTTGTAGTAAAAAAAAAAATTCTGAGCTTTTTGTAAAGACCTAATTTGAATTAATTGTGATTTTTTTCCAACAGGACACATGATGCATATTTCTTGCTTATTGTATTTTACATAGTCCTTCTTTTGTCTAGGAGGAGCAGTGCACTTGTCAATGACTAGCTAATTCTTAAAATCTTTTTTTCTCCCAGTGTAAATGCTGCAGTTCTGAGTCAGGTTCCATAACTCCGTCCATGCCTGATATCTGTATTGCCTACAAACTTCACCTAGAGTGTGCCCAGCTAATAAACTTATATGACTGGCTACTGTTAAATTATTAAATAAAAACGACTTGAAAAAGATATGAATTTCCTAGTACTCAGATATTTCAATCTTGTTATGTTTGCCTATTGCTATCAGATTAAAGAGGGATAACTGTGTATTATAAATTGTTTTATACAGTATAATTGTTTTGTTAGGCTTTCGCTACTGTGGTGAAATGGTTTTATACAGTATAATTGTTTTGTTAGGCTTTTGCTACTGTGGTGACGTCGGATGAAGAATTAAATGAAGAAAAGATCAAGAACCCAGACAAGGAACTACAGTATCCTTTACTCTATAGTAAACTTAACTCTACTGTAAATTAAACGTCACTCCACTGTAAACTTAACTCTATTGGAAATTTCACCCTACAGTAAAACAATGCATAAAATTTCTGATATCAACTATTTCACTACTGGTAAAGAATTGATAAAATGAATATGAAACTATATTTACAAAGCTTCAATCAAACTTCAAGTCAACTTTCTGCAAAAATAACCCTGAAGTGAACACTTTGTTAGATGGAAAAATAGCAAAATTTTACCCCTGAAAAAAATTTACAGCAGTCTAAATGGATTTTCTTGTAAAATACATGATTTATTTAAAAGGGAAACATTAAAAATTTTCATCATAAATGTCATGTACAGCAAAACTTGTTTAGTACGAACACGGATATTGCGAATTTACGGATATAGCGAAGTCATCTTGGATCCCTAGCTATATAAATTTAATGTCTTTTTTAAACGGTTATAACGATCCGGATAAGGCCAGCTCGAGCTGTGATCGCCATTGTCGCCAATTGCGAATTTTTTTCAAAAGTGGCGAAAAAAGAAATTCATAAGTGGCGAAAATGAATTTCTTAGATGTACCATGTACAAAATTTGTGTAGACTTGATTAGCTCCTTTGTTTATTCAATGTAATATATACAGATAAGTCCCTTTGTTTATTTAATGCAGCAGAGGTGTGAAAACTGAAACCTACATGTAGGAAATCACGTCTCGCTTGAACTAACACAGCTGACTAGGTAATAAGCCTGGAGCAATAAAGGGTTACAAAATTGCTTGAAATAATATAATTTGGATTAAACAAGGGGATAAAGTGTTATAAGGAGATGAAGTTTGTAAATAAAAGATTTTTATCAACAAAATATGGATCTATTTAGATCGTTTTTTTTAAACCGAAAGTAGGGAAATTTGACGAAAATTGTAAAGAATGGCTTTAAATTTTACCTAATGAAAATTGAAAAATGTGTACATTATACCATAAACTGACATAGAGTGAAAAAGAAATTGGTTTGAAAACAAGAATTATCTTTAGTTAGTAAATTACACTGAATTATTTACATTGACATGAGCTTGCATATTAAACCCCGGCCGGAGTCTCCAAGTTGTTAAAATAAAGTCAAGTTCAAAACCTAATTTTCATTACTTTTTAATTTCTTCTTTTCACAATTAATGAAATGATGAAAACTTCCATTTTTAAAAAAATGTCATATATTTTTCCTGGGTCTTTAGCCCCCCCCCCCTTTTCCAGGCAAAAATATTATAATCAAGAGGAGATTTTCTGTCAAGAGTTGGCTAATATCAATTCAATATCAAATTAATTGTATAATTCCAAAGTTTTTTAGCTCACCTCAACGAAGTTGGGGGAAGCTTATGTGATACCCTCGGCGTCGGCGTCGGTGTCGGCGTCGGCGTCGGCGTCCCGGGTTAAGGTTAAGTTTTTTGGAGCAGTTTTCTTTTAAAGTACTTCTATGTCCTATATTGATTAGACATGCATGGAAGATGTTGCTAGTGTGTTTCATTGTACCAGTCAAAGTTTCAGATGCTGCAATTTCAGCAAAGGAATGACCAGGTTAATGTTTTTGGTGCAGGTTAACATTTTTGGTGCAGTTTTTGGTGTAGGTCTCATTTCCGAGTAACTATAAGCCCTATGTTGACCAAACTTACATGGATGATACATCTTATGATGCATACTACCAGCCTTGCTTCGGATGCTGAATCTGACCTACATTTTCTGGTTGAGTGAACAGGTTAAAGTTTTTGGTGATGGTTTCATTTTGAAGATACGTTGAGCCCTATAATGACCAAACTTGCATGGATGGTACATCTTAGAATGTATTGTACTAAACTTGCTTCGGATGCTGAATCTGACCTACATTTTCCGGTTGAGTGAACAGGTTAAAGTTTTTGGTGCAGGTTTCATTTCCAAGTTACTATGAGACATATAATGACCAAACTTACATGGATGATACATCTTAGGATGCATACTACCAGCCTTGCTTCGGATGCTGAATCTGACCTACATTTTCCGGTTGAGTGAACAGGTTAAAGTTTTTGGTGAAGGTTTCATTTCGAAGATACGTTGAGCCCTATAATGACCAAACTTGCATGGATGGTACATCTTAGGATGTAATCTACTAGACTTGCTTCGGATGCTGAATCTGACCTACATTTTCCGGTTGAGTGAACAGGTTAAAGTTTTTGGTGCAGGTTTCATTTCCAAGCTACTATGAGACATATAATGACCAAACTTGCATGGATGGTACATCTTAGGATGCATATTACAAGACCTGCTTCGGATGCTGAATCTGACCTACATTTTCCGGTTGAGTGAACAGGTTAAAATTTTGGATGCAGGTTTCATTTCCAAGGTACAGTACTATGAACCCTATAACGACTAAATTGCATGGATGGTACATCTTAGGATGCATACTACCAGACTTGCTTCGGATGCTGAATCTGACCTACATTTTCTGGACGAGTAAACAGGTTAAAGTTTATGGTAGAGGATTCATTTCCAAGTAACTTTGAGCTCTATAATGACCAAACTTGCATGGATGGTTCATCTAAGGGTGCATTCTACTAGGCTGGCTTCGGATGCTGAATCTGACCTACATTTTCTGGATTAGTGGAAAGGTTAATTTTTTTATACAGGTTTCATTTGCAAGTAACTTTAAGCCCTATGTTGACCAAACTTGCATGGATGATGCATCTTAGGATGCACACTAATGGACTTGCTTCAGATTCTGAATTCGACATACATTTTCCAGATAATAGACCTTGTAAAAGTTATGGGTGCAAGTCTATCACCAAGAAACTATAAGGCTTATATAAACCAGTTGCACAAATGATGCATCAAGGGATGAAAACTCTCAATCTTGCTTCAGATGCTGGATTTTAATTACATTTTCATGATGAAGAACTAGTTTTTAGTTTTTATATAGGTCTATTCCAAAGTATCAAACTTGCATAAATTTTGCATTTTTGGATGTACACTTTTTGTTGGTTAATTGTGTAACTTAATTTGCCTTACTTAAAAGACAACACACGTTGAGGTGAGCTCTGTAATCTCTGATTACCTATGTTTCTTTTTTTTAAATGGATACTACCATAAGCTTTAAACATTACAATTTTAAAACAATGTCTGTGATAAACATAATTAAAAAAATGAATAACATAAAGTGCATTGCATTGTCAAGAAATCAGATGTAAGTATGCCTTTTTTGTCGCAACAAGTGGCGAAAAATATTTTCAGTCCAGTGGAGACCCTGATAAAGCGAAGTAATTTCAGAGGTCCCAGTGACTTTGTTATAACTAAGTTTTTCTGTATAAGCATTTCTACTCACAGTTTATTTAATTACAATAACATTCCAAGCCTGCAGCTGCCCAATACTAATTCTTCCATGCCTCACAAATGTTTAGTTTTCCTCCTTAACCTGTCCTCAGAGCCCGATTTATCAGAGCTGTGTCTGAACTTCAGTTTCTAGGATTTGTGAAACCCACCAAGAGGAAAACGGATCATGTGGCTCGCCTCACATGGGGTGGTTGCTGAGTAAAGAGAGGGGTGGATCCAAGGGTAATAAATCACTAAATCAAGGAGTGGATCCAAAGATACATTTACCAAAACAAGGAGTGGATCCAAGAGGGGACATTTACCAAAACAAGGAGTTGATAGGATAGAATTTAGTGCTGAACAATTACTTAATCAAAGGTGGTGTATTGTTTATGATAAATCAATGTTGAACATTCACCTACACAATTATCAAAGGATGGTATGTAGAGTAACTCATAATTTGGTGTTGACCAAATAGATGAGCTTGTTACATATTTCTGATTAAAGAGATGAATGTACTAATCTCAAAAAGAGAATTATTTATAGTTGTTCATCAAACAATAAAATGTCACAACTTTTGTATGAAATGATTTATCTCTTTGTTAATTTCATTTTGCTTGGATTCTAAGTTTCTTAATTTTTGTATCAGTATATACATAGAATTTTATTGAGCAAGTAAAGCCAAAAGTAGTTAACCCACTTTTCTTTATGTGCAAGAAATATCAGCAAGCTTTGAACCTTTCTTTGTGAATATTTCTCATAGCAAACTACATTTTATTTAATATAATGCATGTATGTTCCGTGAGTGGCAATAATGTAGCCCTCTTTATTTTTTGGGGGGGGAAGAGAACAAGAGGCCCATGGGCCACATCGCTCACCTGAGAAGCTTTGACCATTCTGTTTTTACCAGACTTCCCCCTTGTAATACATAAATAATGCATCCCCACTCTACCCCACTGATCATATTTTAGACATTTTGAAATCTACACTACCCAAGGATCCTTCCATGTGCACATAAGTTTCAGCTTTTCTGGCCCAGTGGCTCTTGAGAAGAAGATTTTCAAAGATTTTTCCTATATATTTCGATGTAAAACTTTGATTTCCAATTGGCCCCACCCTTCCTCCGGGGGTCATGATTTGAACAATTTAGAATCTACACTATACCAGGATGCTTCCACATAAGTTTCAGCTTTTCTGGCCCAGTGGTTCTTGAGAAGAAGAATTTAAAAGATTTTCCCTATATATTCCTATGTAAAACTTTAATTTCCCATTGTGGCCCCGCCCTTCCCCGGGGGCCATGATTTGAACAATTTAGAATCTACACTACCCCTGCTTCCATATAAGTTTCAGCTTTTCTGGCCCAGAGGCTCTTGAGAAGAAGATTTTCAAAGATTTTGCCTATATATTTCGATGTAAAACTTTGATTCCCCATTGTGGCTCCGCCCTTCCCTGGGGGGTCATGATTTGAACAATTTAGAATCTACACTATACTCAGGGATGCTTCCACATAAGTTTCAGCTTTTCTGGCCCAGCGGTTTTTTAGAAGAAGATTTTCAAAGAGTTTTCCTATATATTTCGATGAAAAACTTTGATCCCCATTGTGGCCCCGCCTTCCCCCGGGGTGTTATGATTTGAACAATTTAGAATCTACACTACCCCTGCTTCCATATAAGTTTCAGCTTTTCTGGCCCAGTGGC